TGGACATAATAAACAGAACACATATTACACTTGCATAGCTAAGCACAATGGTACAGGTTGCATCAAGCCTAAGGCTACTTAGCATACTGGACCACCCACGCCCCTCTACCTCTTAGTTTTCCTAATGCCTTGATAAGGGTTTTCTGGGAAGTCCTGTAACCCTTGGGTATCAATCTAAGCAACAGCCTTGGCCTGCTATATGGAGGTTACTTTGCCATGTGTGGGGCACAGCTCAGGTGCAGGAGGAGCCGACCATCTGCTTAGAACCCCAACATGGCTTAGATCACCCAGGGTCTCCATTTCCCCTAGTTATATTACCAGATCTCTGTATTCTGCAGAAAGATGGTCCACCCCCTCCAGCCACAGCCTTGGGCAGACTCGATCTGGCAGCCCATGTAGGCTGTGACTGAGTCCTATGTCTCCTTCATCCAAGACCACAGAGGGTTGGCTGCTGGCACTCACTGGCAACCATCCAGCTGTCCCAAGGCTGAAAGACCAAGAAAACCTCCTCCAGGTCCTGCTTACAAATGGGGCCTGCTGAGAGGCTCTCTAAATTCAAGAAGGTGGGACCGAACTGTCACTTAGTCTGACTTTAGGACAGAGGGTAGAGGAGGAAATGAATTCTCGGGAGAGGTAAGAGGCAGGCCCCAGCACATTTCCATGTGCTAAAAGCATTTTGAGGGGCACATTCAGAGAGAGAGAGACAGCACGGGAGAAAGGCTACTACCACAGCCACAGAGGCCAAGTGGGTGGCCACACTAGTGTTGAGCCCTGGCACGCAAAGGGTGAAGCTTTTAGGCAAGCAGTGGCTAGTGATCTCAGCTTCCCTGGTCTTAATGCTCCTGAAAGGCTCCCTGTAATTGGGCATCAGTAGTTAATGCAGTATTGACTGCATTACATGCTCCTGTGCCTCCCCTCGCTAATGCCAATTGCATCACCTTGTACAGTCACTGGCTTGCTTAGCCAATAGCTGTTAAAAGCAATCCAAATCATGAATCATATGGGAAACTTTTAGCAAGACACCACCATCCAAGGAGACAATTTACAGTTGAGTTAATCTGGGTACATTAGCGAGACATGGATTCTGGACGACAGACCAATTTATGTTGTTTCCCTGTCCCCCACCCCTCTTAGTCCCCTGTGTGGGTAAATGAATAGAAGAGCAGGGCACTGAGCAGACCACCTGCCTCTCTGACCAAGGTTCTGGGAGGGGAGGGGGAGCCCCATCTTTACAGACTCTCTGCCTGGCTGAGTTTGAACAAGAAGGGGCAGCGGCTGTCCATGCTGCTCAAGATGTGTGACGCCTCCCCCCACCCCCCAGCAATGAGGGGCTGGTGATGGCAGGTGCAGGAGTGGTCCCTCCTGCTAGGCACTGGGTAAGTGCCAGGTCGAGTCCCTTTCCTGCCAGCCTTGCTGGGCCTTTACTAGCCCTCAGCAGGCAATAGTACCTACTAGGCTCTGCCTTCTTGCAAATGGGTTCGGGTTTCTAGCATGAAAGGGTAAAAAGGCTTGCTCCCTGCCTTCACCTCCAGGGCCAGGAGGCCTAGGCCACACTGTGCTAGGTCTCTCTGTGGTCTAGCGCATAATGGGACAGGCCAGGCGGTCCTGCTGGCAGGATAGCAAGGGCTGTCCGGTGTCTGCCTCTCAGATGAACCGAGTCAGCTGCTGAGGCTGTGTTCCTAGCAGTCATTAACTATTGAAGACTACGCTGTCTGGTCCTCCTCAACCCAGTTCCACTCCTCCTTAAGCATTTTTTACTTATTAAAAATGCTCTGGAAACCATGTCTGGTGTTTAGTTCCACAATGTGCCTGCTGCTTCCTGTGGTCACCCCAGCCACCCTGCTGGGCCTTTACAGAGGTGGTTTAGACTTAGACCAGCCAGGCTCCAGCATGCATCTGGGAACATGCTGGTACTCCCAGCTGGGTGCCCTCAGCATCCTCTCCTGCCCAGGGCCCCATAGTCCAAGCTCTCACTCTTCAACATGTCCCCATTCAAAGGGCCTGTTCTCCAACAGTGAAAGTCAAAATGGATTTTTGGGGTTTAGGGTAGGAATTTTCTTTGCTCCCATAGGACTTCACATGTGTCTCTCCCCAGCCCCCCACCCCATGCCCAAAGCTCAGAGTCTGGTGCCAGCCCAAGCTGCAGGTGCCAGGGGAAGAAAGGCTGTTTCTCAGGAGAGTTGAAACACAGCCCCCTTTCGCTGACAGGGAGACCCAGCAGCATTTAGAAAGCCGAGACCCTGAGTTCCAGTAAAGTAAGATGGCTAGGCCAGGAGAAAGTGTCCAAATGAAAGCAATTAATCTTAAAATCTGAAGTTTAACCATTTGCAAAACAGATCTTTCTGTCTCTGTGGTGACCCTTCACTGTTCGACCTAATGGATTACTTTATTAATAATGCACTGTGCTTAAAAGCAAAAAAAAAAAAAATTTTTTTTTCTGACGATTCAATACTTCAGAAAGTCTCTTAAACCCGTTGCTACAGAAAAACGATTGATATTTTATTATCTTTCAGAAGTGCAACATGAAAGGCCTGCAGCTCAGCAGAGCGAGGGCTTTGGTCCTTGGCAGCTGACAGACCTGACTTCAACCAGAGGAGCCCAGCCTCTCTCAACAAGACGCTGTCAGGTGCAGAAAAGGCATTGGGGGAGGCTAATAGGAGCCCCAAGACTTTCCCACTCCCAGACAAATGGGTGTTGTGCATAGCCCTAAGAAATGCACCCATAAGACCTAAGGGCACCAAGGCTGTCACCCAGCTCAGGTGGCCACATTCTGGGAGGGGACAAGTGTAGATGAAGTTAAGCAGTTGGTGTGGAGAGGCAGGTGAGTGGATTCAGTCTTTCCCCATTCCCCAACAAAGATGCCGCCTTCAGGACCCCAGCCACCTGTCTTCCTTATGCTGTGACAAACATCACAGTCATGTAGTGCCAATGGTGGAGGGTACTACATTGTTTAGACAGCACAGGTGGGGGGTGGAGAGGCATACTGAGCTCCCCTTCCCAGCTTTGGTGAGGACCAAAGAAATTGTATGCACAGGATGGCAAAGTGCACATCAGTCTGGAGGTCTCTCCACAGCCTGAGCCATTCTGTGGTACCTGGCCAGACATCTAGTCCAGACCCTGGGTGGAGTCCATGGCATCTTGCCAGGATGGGACTAAGCTTCCTGGACTGAGTTCTCCCACATAGAAAATTCAGGTCTTCTGAGATTTTGGCTTAGGCCTGGTTAGACCTGATTTCCACATGCTTCCCATAATGACAGTCCTCAGAGACACGGAAGGAAGGACCCTTTACATCCTTAATTTGGGGGGGGGGCGGGGAGTGTGATGGTGCTGAGGATCAAAGCCAGAGCCTTGGACCTGGCAGGCAAGTGCTTTACCACTGAGCTATACCTCCAGCTCTCTGTACTGGCTTCTTCAAGCACTTCATTTTTACCAAGAGGGAAAGAGAAACTCTAGAGCGGGGCATGACTGATCTGAACTAACACACGGTAGGGAATTGCTAATGAAAGCAGCCAAATCAAGGCCTCTTCTTTCTCTCTCTTGCCTGACCCCAGACCTCTCCTTCTCTGCATTCTATACAACACTACACCAGCCCAGCCCTCTGATGGCCCACTGACATTCCAGCAAAGGGTCTGTGAACAGACCACCTTGTGTGGAAGATGATGTTACACTCCAGCCAACCCAGAATCATCTAGTTCCGTTTCCTCTCTCCCTTCACTCAAGCCAAGAGTCAGCCTTCAGGGACTTGCCCCAGGTCTCTCCAGTATGCACATACACACCCCTAGGCCAGGCTCCTGGCCCTATGCCTCAATGCCTCGAAGGTATTGATAGTCTTGTGTCATTTGGATGAGACAGTAGTCAAGTGAGCATTCTGAATGACCTTGAACAAGTCACTGAACCTCCAGTTTTCACCAGTGACCATAGCAATAACATCCTGGTGGGCAGAAGGCACAGATCTGGAGGAGGACAGCCAGCAGTCACTCCTGGAGATGTCCCATTGCTCCCAAAGCACCCAGTCTTTCCAGTCACCAATGGAGGCAGCTGTCAGCAGCAGTGTGGTGCCCCACTCTACAGACCACACAAACCTCACTTACAGGGCCCCAGGGCCTGGGAGTGCCAGGGAACTACCACTCTCCAGACCCTGGCGGCCTGTCTTGGGTCACAGGACACAGGCTGCATTTTACCTGAAAGGGAGCAGGGATTCCCCATCCTTCAAGCCATTTAACTGCAAGGCACTCCCAGCCAAGAAGACTTTGGTGTCTGTGGGACCACCTGCTAGTGGCGTCCTACAGCCCTTAAGTCCTCCGGGATGTACCCAGACTCTTGACCACATAAGATCCAGGCCACCTTCACAAACCACTCCCTCTGGAGTGCTACTGGCCCATGGCGGGACACTTTCTTCCTCTGGGCCAAACTCCTGCCCTCATGTTCAAGGAGACAAGAGACAGTGGCCGGCACAGGAGCCTCTCTCACCGAGTCATGCTCCTGGCCAGCTGTCCCTCGGAGGGCCCAGCTGGCCTTCCCTTCCCAGCCCCGGCATCCCGGCTTTCGCTCGGTCCTCCTGCGCTCCCGCTCGCCCCAAGCTCTCCAGTCCGCTTCTCCCCAAGCCTCTGATTTGCTGGGCACTCAGAGCCTCTCAGGTTACGCGGCCCGCGCGGGGGTGATGGCTGCGGCGAACCGGCAGCAGCCGCAGAGACCCAACGCTCAACCCCAAGCGCCACTGCGCGGAGACGGCTGGGCGGCGGGAGGCTGCACGCGGCCCCACGGCGCAGCGCTGCGCTCCGCCGGCGCACAGCTCCTCAGCTTGGCGCCGGGGGCCTGGAGAGCGCGGACCGAGCTCGCCCACCCCACCCGGGTCCGCCCTCCGGCCCCAGCCCGCCGGCGGTTCGGCAATCACCGCACAGCCCCCGCGTGTGCGCGCCCGGGTCCGGGTGCATGGGATCCCACGCTCCGCGGCGAGGGGTGAGGGCGTGGGGGCTCCGGGACCCCCGGCCGCCACCTACCGTCCTCCTTGTCCAGCACCATCATCTCGGGCGCTCCGTGTCCAGCCGCAGCTCGGCTCGGCCGGGAAAAGGGCGCCGACTCCGGGCGCGCTTCGGCTGGGCGGTCGGTCCTCGGGCAGCGAGCGGGCTCTAATTACCCGCTTGTCCGGCTCTTAACCTAGATTGCACTCAGCTAGAATTACATTCAGGAGTGAAGCACTTCGCAGATACAAAAGCAGTCTCACCTACTTTTGTGCCTCAGAATTGCAAGGAACTACGAACTGCAATTGAGAGGGAGAGAGAGAGAGAGGG